ATGAAGTAAAGATGCCTGCAGACCTTCTCTGAGCATGGGCAGAGTGTCACCCTTTCCAAGGATGCCAACATACCTCTGAGCATGAGCAAAATGCTATCATATCCAAAGATGCCTGAAAGCCTCCTCTGAGCACGAGCAGAGCGCCACTCTTTCCAAAGATGCCGGTAGATTTTTTCTGAGCATGGACAGAGTGCCACTCTTTCCAAAGATACCAGAATATGAGCATGAGCAGAGTGTCAAGACTTCCAAAGATGCCACAGAGTGCCACTCTTTCCAAAGATACCAGTATACCTCCACTGAGCATGAGCAGAGTGTCAAGACTTCCAGAGATGCCTGAAAGCCTCCTCTGAGCATGAACAGAGTGTCAAGACTTCCAAAGATGCCAAAAGGCCTTCTCTGAGCATGGGCAGAGTGCTACTCTTTCCAAAGATACCATAATATGAGCATGAGCAGAGTGTCAAGACTTCCAAAGATGCCAGAAGGCCTTCTATGAGCATGAGCAAAGTGCCACTCTTTCCAAAGATGCCGGTAGATCTTTTCTGAGCATGGACAGAGTGCCACTCTTTCCAAAGATACCAGAATATGAGCATGAGCAGAGTGTCAAGACTTCCAAAGATGCCACAGAGTGCCAGTCTTTCCAAAAATACCAGTATACGTCCACTGAGCATGAGCAGTGTCAAGACTTCCAAAGATGCCAGAAGGTCTTCTCTGAGCATGGACAGATTACCACTCTTTCCAAAGATGCCAGGAAACCTTCTATGTGTATAGACAGAGTGCCACCATTTCCAAAGATGCCAGAAGACCTCCTCTGAGCATGAACAGAATCCCAAGACTTTCAAAGATGCCAGAATACCTTTTCTGAGTATGGATAAAGTTCCACCTTTTCCAAAGATGCCAGCAGACCTCTGAGCATGAGCAGAGTGCCACCATTTCCAAAGATGCCTGCAGACCTTCCCTGAGCATGGGCAGATTACCAACCATTCCAAAGATGCCGGTAGACGTTTTCTGAGCATGAGCAGAGTGCCACCCTTTCCAAAGATGCCAGAAGACTTCCTCTGAGCATGAGCAGAGTGCCATCATTACCAGAGATGTCAGAAGACATTCTCTGAGCATGAGCAGAGTATCACCTTTCCCAAAGATGCTGGAAGGCCTTTTCTGAGCATGGGCAGAGTGACATCCTTTCCAAGAGCAATCCTAAACAGTTCCAGAGAGGCTTGCTTGCATTGCAAATCCAAAATCAATTAATTTTGTGTTAAGACTTGGATCGCATCTCCAAGAGAACTCATGATGTATATGGGCAAACATTCCAAAATTTTGAAAATACAGAACACTTCTGGTGCCAAGTGTTCTGGATAAGAAATACTCCTTCTTCAAAGCATTATGGATAAGCCAGTTTTATACACAAATTATAACTAGTGATTTGGAAGAATGTGGGATTTGGTTCAGCTCAATTGGTGGCTACAAGATGCCACTTGTGGACCATTCAAAGCCATTGATGCCTTGAGAGGTAATACGGTTCAATGGTTAGAGAGCAGGCATGTCTCTTGTCCTTTTTCTTATTGGGTTTATTCTGAGTCTTGATCGGTTATTGAAAGACAGGAATTCTGTTGCGCAGAAGCAGATTTTAGCCAAGTCCCATGCAAAAGACACACAGACAAGAGGAAACGGGAACAGAAAAACTTTACTCTTATCAGCAGAGGAATACACTTGCAGTGCTGCATACAAAATCAAACAGCCCTGGCCCTTGAGAGCTCCAGCTGGAGGTCAGCTGTGACCAGCAGTGCTGCAGAATTTGAAGAGGCAGGGGGGGGGGGCAAAAGAGAGAAACGTGCCAAGAGGAAGGTGCGTCAAGCCAACCCCGACCGGGAACACCTTCCACCTGGAAACCAATGCCCACACTGCGGGAAAAGATGCAGATCAAAAATAGGGCTCCATAGTCACCTATGGACCCACTGCCAGTACACTGATCTTGGAAGACAATACTACTTAGACAACAAGGGATCGCCTAACTAAGTAAGTAAACTTGCAGTATTGCATGCAAAATCAAACAGTGCAACAAACTTACATAATCCTTGTAAGTAACACAGAATAAGGCTTCTTCATCTTCATTCAAATGGGAGAGCAAAACATAAACCTTGAGTAAATACCTATATCACCATAGCAAAGAGCATCACTGTTAGAGCATAGCAGCATTACAGCATATTGCTTCTCCTCCTCAGAGTAGCATATTGCTTTTCCAAACTGTATTCTAAAATCCATACAGTTATACCCCACTAGGTGTGGCCCAAACATGCTGGCTGACGTACATTACCAGCTGCACATAATAATTAACATCATAAGGTTTTTCTTTAACACACACTTGATCCTGCTCCGACTTACTATAACAAATTCAACATCATTGAAGAAATGCTTCAGGCATGAAAACTCTACAAAATAAATCAAAATTCACAGTAGTTTCTCTAAATTGGAAATTTGTGAATTTATAATGACATAACACAGTGGGCCCCCTGGTGGTGCAGCAGGTTAAACCACTGAGCTGCTGAATTTGCTGACTGAAAGGTTGGTGGTTTGAATCCGGGGAGCAGGGTGAGCTCTCACTGTTAGGCCCAGCTTCTGCCAACCTAGCGGTTCGAAAACATGCAAGTGTGAGTATCTCAGTATGTACCGCTTCTGCGGGAAGGTAACGGCACTTCATGCAGTCATGCTGGCATTGAATATCATTGTATCTTTGAGTATCCTTTGCAGCCAGGCTTTGAAGCTGCAAGGCCATTCAATACTAATCAAGGTGGTCAATTGCAACATTCACACTTGCTTCCAACAGACAAGAGTTCTTTCTCCCACCCTGGAAATTATTCCACAGATATATAAACCTCACTTATTTAGTTTCCAACAGACCTCACAACCTCTGAGGATGCCTGCCATAGATGTGGGCAAAATGACAGGAGAGAATGCTTCTGGAACATGGCCATAAAGCCCGGAAGACTCAGAGCAACCCAACTAATAGATTCTGTTTGATACTGGGTGGAAAGGTGTTTCTGACTTAGTGTGCGACAATTGGATCTTCCAGTATTCCTCATATGCTGCACGAGCCTGATGGGAGTTGTATTGCAACCTCTGGAGGGTTTTCCTTTGCCCAGGGGTGCGCAACACCAGGCTGCATTGTAGTAGGTGGTCTGTGGTTTGCTCTTCTCCACACCCGCATGTTGTGGACTCCACTTTGTAGCCCCATTTCTTAAGGCTGGCTCTGCATCTCATGGTGCCAGAGCGCCCACTTTTCTGAAAAAATCGCCCACTTTTCTGTGTGCCCAGGAGGGAGTCACTCATTTGGTGTCAGCCATTGATTGAGGTTCTGGATTTTTAGCCTGCCACTTTTGGACTCTAGCTTGCTGAGGTGTTCCAGCGAGTGTCTCTGTAGATCTTAGAAAACTATTTCTTGATTTAAGTCATTGGCGTGCTGGCTGATACCCAAACAGCGGGTGGTCTGGAGACGTCACTGCCTTGGTCCTTTCACTATTGGCTGCTACTTCCCGACGGATGTCAGGTGGTGCAATACTGGCTAAACAGTGTAATTTCTCCAGTGGTGTAGGGCACAGAAACCCCGTGATAATGTGGCATGTCTCATTAAGAGCCACATCCACTGTTTTAGCGTGGTGAGATGTGCTTTAGCGTGGTGAGGTGGAGTTCATGGGAGCTGTGGTTTGGTGAGGCACCAGCAGAGAAGCCTAATGACCTTGTTGAACTACAACTCTCGGGATTGCATAGCATTGATCTGTGGCCATGCAAGGGGGGGGGGGGGTCCAACTGCATTTATTGATTATGCAATGTAGACCAGGCATGGGCCAACTTGGGCCCTCCCTCCAGAGGTTTTGGACTTCAACTCCCAACATTCCTAACAGCTTCAGGCCCTTTCCTTTCCCCCCTCAGCCGCTTAAGTGGCCCATGTCTGCTGTAAAGGATGCTCCCAAGGTTGCAGCAAAGTGGAGCAGGGTGTTCTTAGGACCCAGGACTGAAAGGCAGGAGGAAAGAGGGAGGGGAAAAGGGAGGCTGGGGGAGGAATAGACGTGTGTGCCCTGGGCGAAGAGGGAGGGGGGCCTCGGGCTCCCAGCCAAATCCAGCTGCCTGCCCTTTCCTTGCCTCCCCTCCATCTCCTTCGCCTTCTCTTTCTGCCTTTCTCCGGAAAGACAAGCGAGAGAGAGAAAGAGAGAGAAAGGTAGAAGGAAAAAAAGGAGGAGAAAGAGCTTGCTGGGTCAGGAAAGGGGAGGAGGAGGGGGGGAAGCAGGAGGGAGGAAGAAAGAATGGGGAAGAGCTGAAAGGAGGAGAAGAGCCGGCTCAAGACTTTGGGGGGTGAAAGGCGGAAGAAAGGAGGAGAAAATCCCCCCATCCAGGAGAGGAAGAAAAGGAAAGGGTCAGCAGCCCCCAGCAGATGGGCGAGAGAGAGAAGTAATCCTCTGCGGGGAAAAGCAGATTGCAAGAGAAGGGAGAGAGAGAGCAAAAAAGCAGATTGGAAAAGAGGGAAAGACTGCAAAAGAGAAAGGAGAGCAAAAAAATCAGACTCCAAAGAAAAGAGAAGGCAGGTGGCAAAAAAGAAGAAAAAGAAAAAGCAGGCTCCAAAAAAGAGAGAAGAAAAGGCAGGTGGCAAAAAAGGAAGAAAGAGAAAAAGCATGCGCCAAAGAAGAGAGAGAAAAGGCAGTTTGGAAAAGAACAGAGAGAGAGAGCAGACTGCAAAGAGGGAAAACTGAAGACAATGAACTCAAGGCGCACGCTTTGAGCCTTTTTCTGCCTCCTTTTCCTTTCTCTCCTTCTTTTTCTCTTCTGATTCCTTCCCTCACTACCATTCCTTCCTTATGAGTTTGCCTTCTGTTCTTTCCTTTCCACCGGGTTTTCTGCCTGTCCTTCTGCCTGGTTTGCTTTCTCTTTCTTTCCACCTGATTGTGCTTTCTTTCCACCTGATTTTCTCCCCATCCCCTTGATTCTCTTCCTCTCTCTTCCTCTCTTCTCTCTCTCTTCTGCCTGGTTTTCTCTCTCTCTCATACTTGTTTTCCCTCTCCACTTGATCTTTCTCTCTTTCCACCTGCTTCACCTTTTCTTCACCTGATTTTTCTTTCCCACCTCATTTTCTCTCTTTCACACTTGATTTTTCTCTGTTCACTTGATTTGTGTTTTTGAGTTCCTTCCTTCAGATTTACTTTCTCTCTCCATCTGTTCTCTCTTCCAAAACTTCTTTTCCCTTCCTCCTTGGTTTTCTTTCTCTCCACTTGATTTCCTCTCTTTCAGACTTATTTTTCTCTCTCCTCTTGGTTTTTTGTCTTTGGTTTCCCTCTCCTTCAGACTTTTTTCTTCTGGTCACTTGATAGTTTCTCTCAACTGATCTTTCGTTTGACAGAGTGTATCTGTTTTTCAAACCTTTTTTCTCTTTCCACCTGATTTTTGTCCTTGGTTTTCTCCCTTTTTTCAAACTTGTTTTCCCTCCCACTTGATTTTCTCTTTTTCCTTCTGATTCATTTTTAAACACCTTTTCTGTCTCCACCTGTTTTTATCTTTGACTTTCTCTCTTCCAAAACTTCTTTTCCCTTCCTACTCGGTTTTCTTTCAATCCATCTGATTTCGTCTTTCAGACTTATTTTTCTCTCTCCTCTTGTTTTTTTGTCTTTGATTTCCCTCCTGTTCGAACTTGTTTCTTCTGGTCACTTGATTGTTTCTCCCACCTGATCTTTTTTTGCCAGAGTCTATCTGTCTTTCAAACTTTTTTCTCTCTTTCCACCTAATTTCTGTCTTTGGTTTCCACCCACTCTTTCCCTCTCCAGTCTCCACTTGATCTTTTCCCCTTCTATCTGATTTTCTCTTTCAAACTTAATTTCCTTGGTTTTCTCTCATCCAAGCTTATTTTCTCTCTCCATCTGATTTTGTTCTAGTTTCTGCCTGATTTTCTCTCTCTTTTCAACTTGTTTTCTCCTTCTACTTGATCTTTCTGTCTTTTCACTGATTCCTTTTTTCAAGCATCTTCTCTCTCTTTCTCCTCTTCCACCTGATTTCTTCTTTCTTTGCACCTTTTCATTCATTTTTCTCATCTGCCACATGTTTTCCTCTCCCTCTCCTTCCATCTCTTTCTGTCTTTCCCATCTGGCTTTCTTTCTCCCCCTCTTTTCTCTCCTCCTTTCCTCATCCTCCATCCTCCCTCTCTCCCTCCCATTCATATGGCCAGAGCATTCACAGCTATAATTTCCCTTTGGAGTCTGGCCATTGCATCCAGCAGTTTAGGTTTGTGCCACTTGGACGGCGCGCCTTTCTCCTGGGCCTGAGGAATTGCTACTTTGGGAGAAGGGGCCCAGCACCCAACCCTTTCATTATGGCTTTGTGTGGCAGCCAGGATCCCAGCTTTACATGCAAAAAGCTCTAAACTCTTCCATTTGTGAGCGGGGTGGCCTGCTTTTCCTTTGAAGAGCGTCCCTCCTCCACCAACGCTTGCAGCAAACCAAGATTCCCAACCTCAGCAGAAATTAAATTTTGTCTTTCTACAAAGGAACCAAGGATAATAACACTAAGGATCTGACAGATCTATGGTTCCCCCAAAGTGAGGAACATCTGGGGATCTGTTCACCAAGCCCTTATTTTGAACCCACAAAGAAAGAGCAAAGCCTTGCAGACTTTTTGAAAGTTTTGTAGTGTTAATGTGCAAAATGCAAAACTCTTTTCTAGCTGACGGTATGAATTTTGCTCCCAACAGCTGATCTGGATTGGTCTAGATTCTGCTACCACTTTTTCTGGATTTTCAAGTAGCCCTTTGTTTGTCAGCTCTTGTTTCTTCTAGAGACAGCCCCCATTTGTTTATCTTTGTATGTTTTTATTGCAGCACGTGCAATTTTGGACTTTGTCATTGGTTTGGACTACTGTGCTCTTTCTGGATCTGGATTGGATGAAATAGACCTACTAGAAATACATCTCTTTTTGCTACAGTTTGTCTTGGGAGTTATCACTGGGTGTGCTTCTTCTGGACTGGAAACAAAACTGTATGCAGTTCCTCAAAATTTGCAAAAGATTTTTAAATAGTTCCAGAGAATGATTATCTCCTATGTGCTTGGAAAAATAGCAAGATTGAACTGTTTTCCTCTGTTACTTTCTCTAGAATTCTGCAGCTTTTGAGTACTTAGCTTTCAAGATGAAAAAACTAGGGTTTTTAATGAACCGAAGTTGAATTTGCATGCATTGTGATTTCTATAAAGTTGACTTTTTGGAACTTGCCGGGAATTGGTGTGACAAAACTCCAAGTGTGTTGGTAATCTGTGAATTTCAGTAAGCATCTGGGCAATACATTTTGCAATTGAGAGGAAGCTGGAAACCAGACCTCAGCATTCAGTGAGATACATATTTTGAGGTCTGGAGTGTGTTTGTCAAAACATCTGGATATATTGATGCCCATTGCCTTTAATTCTCAGGAGGAAAAAGTAACCTGCAGGATTATTTTTAAATAAACCCACTATTTTGGATTTTCTTTCAATTTATTCTGAATCTGAGAATGAAATTGGGATCCGAAAAGGACACTGGGAGCTGTAAATTGGGACTTTCCAGCTGCCATGCTTTCTGTATCTAAGAGGAAAGTTCAGGCTTTCTGGATTTCATGACACTGCAGAATTGGTGACTGTTTTCCGATGTGTGCCAAGTTGTGTTTGTATGGTTTTTATTTTATTTTTATTTGTGGAGACTTCTTGTAAAGGTCTCTCTTTTGGCTTGCGATTCCTCCCTGTGGTTGCAACACAATTCCCTGTTCAAGCATGTTGAGTTTACGCCCAGCCTGGCTCAATCCATGCAGCCAGGCCTTTTTCCCAAATGGCTTTTCTGGGGCAAATGTGCTGACCAAGAGATTTGGGAAGAGTTAACAAAAACGTCTGGGAATAAAGGAGAGACAGAAAGAGAATTGCAAACTGACCGGAGAAGTCTTTGTCATCCGAATACAGGGCTTGGTTTCAGTGGAAATGTATATTTTTCTCCTGCTTGGCAAACTTATAATATAACATTGCCAACTTTTCTCAGTTCGCTTTTTATATCAGTCATCAGGTCTTCCAAAAGAACTGGATCTTTAAAAACTCTTCATTTTCTCAGGAATCTTTTCTTCTTTCCAGAGCTGTTCAAGAGTCACAAATGCACATGAAGCCAGGATGTCGAACATCAAAGGAATGGAGAAGGAATAATTGGTAAACACGGGTCCTCAGCGTTGGATAGCTTAACCTGCCTTTGGAGAAGCAAAATGTCTGTAAGTATGCTCAACCTGGAGAGGAAAAGCAAGAATTAACTTATGTTTGAAGGAATCTAGTGTGGAAACAATGAGGAAGAGCCCTTTTGACCTTGGATGGCAACTAGGTCACACCATTTTCTGATGCACGCTTGAGCAAACTTTGGCCCTCCAGGTGTTTTGGACTTCAACTCCCACCATTCCTAACATCCTATTGGCTGTTAGGAATTGTGGGAGTTGAAGTCCAAAACACCTGGAGGGCCAAAGTTTGCCCATGTCTGAGATAAAGGGATGTATAAACAGGGAATGTATTGGGAAAAGAGGAGAGGGATAAAGTGCTTTTGGCCACTTCTGTTCCTTAAAGTATTTGTATTCGCAACCCAATCTTCCAACAGTGTTTAATCCAGCTTTCTCTCAACCTGCAGGCAGTACCTCAAGGTAATGATTTGGAAGCCCATCATCCCCAGCCACAGTACCTGGGGGGTGGTGTGTTTTGGAGTCAGCAGGATGGGAAAGGTTGCATGGTGTTGCTTTCTCTGAAATGTATCTGGGTCCTTTTAGGTCACATTGAAAATCAGCAATTTAGCAGGGTTGACCAAATAAAAATTTGAAGTTGAATTTGGATTGGGTTTGTGTCAAATTAGGTTTGCAGCCCCATGACCTATTTGATGATTGGCATGCTGGTGGAAAGGCCTTTATGCCCCCCAATTCGTTGTTGTGTACCTTCAAGTCATGTCCAATCAATGGCACAGGGTTTTCTTGGCAAGATTAGTTCAGAAGAGGGTTGCCATCGCTTTCCTCTCTGGCTGAGAGTGTGACTTACCTTAGGTGGGTTCCTTGGTGAACTAGGGATTCAAACCTTGGTCTCCAAAGACATAGTCCATCACTCAAAACCGTTGCACCACTCTGCTTAAATTTCTAAGGAATAGTTTAATATATTAAGATGTCAGGTCCTGTGAGTGTCCTCCTAGAATAGTGTTTCTCAACCTGGGGGTCGGGATCCCTGAGGGGGTCACAAGGGGGGTTTCAGAGGGGTCATCAAAGACTGTCAGAAAACATATATTTCTGATGGTCTTAGGAACACCTTTGGCAGTGAAAGCTGAAGATCTTCCTGTCTGTCCTTCCATTCCTTTTTGGAAACAGCCGGTGAATCCCCCCACAAAAAGCCCCCCTCCTGCTCTATGGAGATAGGTGAACTACAACTCCAAAACTCAAGGTCCAAAAGCCTTCTAGTATTTTCTATTATTCATGGGAATTCAGTGTCAATATCTATTTTCCCCAAACTCTAACAGTGTTCACAATTGGGCATATTGAGTATTTGTGCCAAGTTCAATCATTGTTGGAGTCCACAGTGCTCTCTGGATGTAGGTGAACTACAACTCCAAAACTCAAGGTCATTGCCCACCAAACCCTTCCAGTGTTTTCTGTTGGTCATGGAAGTTGTGTGCACCAAGTGTCGTTCAATTCCATCATTGGTGGAGTTCAGAATGCTCTTTGATTGTAGGTGAACTATTAATCCCAGCAACTGCAACTCCCAAATGTCAAGGTCTATTTTCCCCAAACTACACAAGTGTTCACATTTGGGCATACTGAGTATTCGTGCCAAGTTTGGTCCAGATCCAACATTGTTTGAGTCCACAGTGCTCTCTGGATGTAGGTGAACTACAACTCCAAATCTCAAGATCAATGCCCAGCGAACCCTTCCAGTATTTGCTGTTGGTCATGGGAGTTCTGTGTGCCAAGATTGGTTCAATTCAATGTTGGTGGAGTTCAGAATGCTCCTTGATTGTAAATGAACTATAAATCCCAGCAACTGCAACTCCTAAATGATAAAATCAATCCCCCCCCCCAACCCCACCAGTATTTAAATTTGGATGTATCGGGTATTTGTGCCAAATTTGGTCCAGTGAATGAAAATACATCCTGCATATCATATATCTACATTACGTATTGTTGAAGGCTTTCATGACTGGAATCACTGGGTTGTTGTAGGTTTTTTTTGGGCTATATGGCCATGTTCTAGAGGCATTCTCTCCTGACGTTTTGCCTGCATCTATGGCAAGCATCCTCAGAGGTAGTGAGGTCTGTTGGAACTAGGAAAATGGGTTTATATATCTGTGGAATGACCAGGGTGGGACAAAGAACTCTTTGTCTGTTGGAGCTAGGTGTGAATGTTTCAAGTGACCATCTTGATTAGCATTTGATGGCTTGGCAATTGTTTCGTTCATAACAGTAGCAAAATTACAGTTATGAAGTAGCAATGAAAATAATGTTATGGTTGGATGACACCACAACTGTATTAAGGGGTTGCGGCATTAGGAAGGTTGAGGAACACTGTCCTAGTCCATTTGAGTCAGGGTGTGGAAAATAAATACTTTTTGATCTGCACCTCCCAGAAGTTCTCAGGGATTCTGGGAGCTGCAGTCCAAAAGAAGTCAAATTTCAGAGCTGTAATTTGAGTTCAAGTATTTCCCAGCTGCATGGAATTAGGCATGGCTTGGATTATGATGCCACGTTTTTCCCCAGTCTCCTGAAAACTTTGGCAAACTGCAGCCCTTCCGTCCCTCCAGGGATCGCCCTTCTAACCTCAATTGCAGCTGGAGAACGCCCGCCCGTCCATCGGGCTTCTTGAAGGTTCTTTAAGCACCAAACCCTAATCTGAGGTCATCCTTACTGAAGATTTATTTGTCAACATGTCAACTGGTTCTTTTCTCCTCCCCAGCCTCCCATCTGCGACCTTTGAGCTCCAAGTATTAATCATCCCTCTTAGATACAGGAATACAAAGAGCATATCTCATCTGACGCGAGAATGGTATTAGGGATATATTTAATCTGGCTATTTTATTGTCCAGGGCGTCCATGTTGAGCATTGGCTTGGCTGATAAGCAGGATAGCAACAAGATAGGAAAAAAAATGGGTCAAATGCCAAGCCAGATCCCAAATTTAAAGCTGTTTGCCTTGTGGCCACCTGGCAAACAATCCATGTAGTTTTGGATTTGTTGTGATCTTGTCAATGGATTTTCTGGGGGCTGAGAGTGTATGACTTGCCTAAAATTTCCCAATGAGTTTCTCTGGAAACCAAACCTTAGGGTTGCGTCTACACCAGGCATGGGAAACCTCGGCCCTCCAGGTGTTTTGGACTTCAACTCCTAACAAGCTCAGGCCCTTACTTTTCCCTCCTTAGGTGCTTAACAATGACATACAAATATGTCAGAAATATTAAAAATTAACTAGGCATTTTTAAATTCAGAAATGTCAATCAAGCACTGAAAGGGTTAAATGGATGCAATAACTCAGCAAAAGCTGCAGTAGCCCTCAGTCTGAGGTAAACCTCAGTGGGAGAAAGGTCTCAGTCTGTGAGAAGGCCTCACAATGTGAGGTATGCCTTAGTGTGTGAGAGAAGGCCTCATGGAGTGAGGTCGGCCTTAGTGTGTGAGAGAAGCCTCTGTGTGAGGTAGGCCTTAGTCTATGAGAAAGCCTGGTGTGAGAAGCTTCAGTGAGAGAAGCCCCAGGTTGAAGTCCTCATGTGTAAGTTGTATTATGTCACTTGGAAACTGCTTTGAGTCCCCTTGGGGAGATAGAGCGGTATATAAATAAAGTTTTGTTGTTTGTTGTTGTTGTGTGTAAAGCTACTATGTGAAAACCTTAAGTCCAAAACACCTGAAGGGCCCAAGTTTGCCAATGTCTAATCTACACGGAGGAGTTGTTGTCCTAGGGCAAGTGTACCGCTTTCAAAACAATGCGTGTATGTGCATTTATATTCCTCATTTATGAGACTTGGTGTTTGCATGGCATATTTTGTCCAGCTATGGTTGATGTATCCTGTATCATTAGTGACATAATCATAGGCTGACTTTCCATCGCCTTGTAACAACCCCTGTGACATCACAAGAGGGTTCACCTTAGGTCTCAGGGTTTGGTCCTGAAATCCCGTGTCCTGGGATCGTTGTGTCGCTCGACACAGAATTGCAGCACTCTATTCCACTTCAACTGCCATGGCAACATCCCGGATTTGCAGTTTAGGGAGTGCTACTTAGAATTCCCAGTTTGAGGGGTCTAGAGCCTCCCCAAATTACAAGCCCCAGGATTGCATAGAGGGCAGACATGACAATTATTGGGGCATTATTAGATAGATGGATGGATGGACGGACAGACATCATTCCACATGGATTACCTGGTTGAGATTGACCATAGAGTGATGTTGGAGGAAATAGAGACTCCTAAAGAAGTGCTCTCTTGGATTAAAATAATTGCATTTTTGTTTATGTTTTTTCCACTTTCATGGGGTTCTGCGCACTTAACTTCCTATACCTCCATTTGCTTGTGCTAAAGCTTTCTCTCACCTCTGAGTCTAGAAGCTGGGTTGGACTACAGTTCCCATCGCCTCCAGCCAGTTAGGGATGGTAGGAACTATAGTGCATGGACTACTGACTGGAGTTGTCAGATCTTGATGGTTTACTGACTTTACTGTCTCAGGGTCTGACCCTTTTTTCTGTTCCGCAGAATCAATGAAGTTTGACACCACTTGAACTGGCATGAATCAATTCCATGGAAACTTGGGGATTAAACCTTTTTATTCAGATAGGCTTTTAAAGTTGAAGGTGTTTAAGATCTAGTCTAGGGAGTAACTTCGAATATGTTTTGATGGATTTTAACTGTGGCATTTTAAGTGTTGTTTGTGTTTAATTCTGTTGTAATGTTTGCATATTTGTATATTTTAATTTGTATACTAATGCTTTTATGTCAAGCCACTTTAAGCCCCCTTTGGGGAGATAAAGCAGAGTAAAAATAAATATAATAATATACTTTATTCATATTCTGCTCTTTCTCCCCGAGTGGATTCAGAGCGGATTATGGAATACATTTATTCAATGCCATTATACAGTTAACAAGAACAGACAATAAACAGAGGTAAAGGCATTTCCAATCTTATTTCTGGCATCTTGGAGGCTGTGCTCAATTCTGGCCACTAGGAGATACTGTCTCTCCATTTTCCATGTCAAAGAGCTTTTGTCATCCTTAGATGTCCTCCTGATGGGTATCCTTAAGGGCACTTTTTATTCCCTCCCTGCTAAAAGCTATTTATCTACTCACATTTCTGCTTTCAATCTGCTAGGTGGGCAGGTGAGCTGGGGCTGACAGCAGGTGCTCACCCCGACCCAGACTTACAGAATACATATATGGCGGATTACAGAATACATATATGGCGGATTACAGAATACATATATGGCAAACATTCAATGCCATTATACAATTAACAAAAGTAGATAATATATAGATAGAGGCAAGGCTTCCCTCTTTCATCTCTGGCATCTGGAGGCTGTGTTAGACTCGGCCATGGGGAGGTGCTATTCCATTTTCCACATCGAGGAGCCTATTGTCCATGGACGCCTTCCTGATCAAATTGCCAGCATGTTTTTCAGGGGCGCTGTGCTGGTACGGCTGTACCAGGAGCTCCAACTTCTTTTCCTTTCTATTGAGTGTTTGCATGTATTCCAAAGTTCCATGCGTTTTGCAATAAGGTGGCTTCCCTTGGTTTGCAATCATAGGGTCAAGGACCCATCAAGTATCATTATGTTCCTTAGTTCCGCCCCTTTTTCTGGGTTAAGGAGGGAAAAAGGGGACCTCTAGTTCAGTTCACATAGGGAAGCCTTTCATACAGGACATGAATCAGTTCCACCTGTAGAAAGCTTAGTCTTTTACAGCTTTGCTGGGGGGATCCAGTCTCACAGCTCTACAGAGAACTACAGCATAGCCTTTGTTGGGGAATTTAGTTCCACAACTCTACAGCCAGCCTTTGCTGGGAATTGAAAGCCTTCTTTCCTCTTGGAAATCTATTAAAGGACTCTGTTTGGTAAGGACCACTTCCGGCAGCCATAACGCAATTTAGACCAGGTGTAGGGGCCCACGCCAGCAGAGCTTAAGTCAGATTGCCCAGGGAGGGGTCAAGGATTACACTTGTAGAAGGAAGAAATAGTTTACAAAGAAAGTTGCCTGTCCCTTGTGGACAATATTTAAGCAAGCCACCAGTTTATTCAAAGTCTTGAAGTATTTGTTTGATTTATTAAAGATTTAAGCAACAATAAAAACTTTGTTGAACTTTCTAAGTCTCTAAAAGAACTTTGTGTGGGGAAATCTGAAAGGCCTCTCAGCCGAGGCACCCCCGGCATCCTGATGGGCATACAGAAAACATGTCCTGTCTGCAGACTCTTTCACAGGCCCAGCGCGTGACAGCACAGGCGCCTTTTACCTTCCCGCCAAAACGGTACCTATTGATCCACTCACATTGCTGTTATCGAACTGCTAGGTAAACAGAAGCTAGAGCTGAGTGTGGGAACTGCCAACCTTCCGGTCTGCAAGATCTTCTATAGGTGGCGATTTAACATGCTGTGCTAACCGTGGTTTAATAATAATAATAATTGTAGTTTTACAGGGTCTTTAGCCTTCTCTGCCAAAAAGTGCTCGAGCCTCACCATACGACAACCTCTATGATTCCGTAGCACTGAGCAACGGCAGTTAGGGTAATGTTAAACTGAATCAATTCTACAGTGTAGAGTCTCACAATGTTTTATGTCTCTTGTTGTCCAATTGTGGTATTGAAATCTCAGGATCTGCTAACCCTTCCCTATATGTGATGGCCTTTTCCACTCTCAATCTCTCAGCAGGCCCAACTCTGCCGTGCCCTTTATGACAATGCCGCCGAATGTCCCGAGGAGTTGTCTTTCCGGAAGGGGGACCTGATGGTTCTGCTCCAGCCTGAAGCCCCTGGCCTCGAAGGATGGCACTTCTGCTCCTTGCATGGCCAGCAAGGAATCGTGCCGGCCAACAGGGTCCGAATCCTTCCTCAGCCTGCGTCCCCCGTACTCACTCCTTACCAACATCACGTTGCAGCGGAGGTTTACCAGGTGCCCAGGAAAGAGGTGGCTGCGGTCGGAACGGTCTTCGAAGCGCCCCAGGAGGAGCGCAGGCAGCGGGGACGGAGGAAAGAAGAGCAGGAGGTAAGGAAAGAGCTCATAGGACCATCAAGTTGGAAGAGACCCCAAGGGTCGTCCAGTCCAATTCCCTACCATGCAGCAGTAAACAATAAAAGTCCTCATGACAGATGCCCATCTAGCTTCTGCTTTAAAATCTCAAGAGCAGGAGACTCCACCATATTCAGGGGTAGAATATTCCGCTTTCAAACAGCATTTGCCATAAGGACGTTCTTCCTAATGGGTTGTTGTAGGTTTTTTTGGGCTATATGGCCATGTTCTAGAGGCATTCTCTCCTGATGTTTCACCTGCATCTATGGCAAGCATCCTCATAGGTAGTGAGGTCTGTTGGAACTAGGAAGAAGGGTTTATATATCTGTGGAATGACCAGGGTGAGACAAAGAACTCTTTGTCTGTTGGAGCTAGGTGTGAATGTTTCAACTGACCACCTTGATTAGCATTTGATGGCCTGGAAGTGCCTGGGGCAATCTTTTGTTGAGAGGTGATTAGATGTCCTTGATTGTTTCCTCTCTGTGTTTTGCTGTTGTAATTTTAGAGTTTTTTAATACTGGTAGCCAGATTTTGTTCATTTTCATGGTTTCCTCCTTTCTGTTGAAATTGTCCACATGCTTGTGGATTGTAATGGCTTCTCTGTGTAGCCTGACATGGTGGTTGTGAGAGTGGTCCAGCATTTCTGTGTTCTCAAATAATATGCTGTGTCCAGGTTGGTTCATCAGGTGCTCTGCTATGGCTGACTTCTCTGGTTGAAGTAGTCTGCAGTGCCTTTCATGTTCCTGGATTCGCGTTTGGGCAATGCTGCGTTTGGTGGTCCCTATGTAGACTTGTCCACAGCTGCATGGTATACGGTAGACTCCTGCAGAAGTGAGAGGATCCCTCTTGTCCTTTGCTGAACGTAGCATTTGTTGGATTTTCTTGGTGGGTCTGTAGATAGTTTGTATGTTGTGTTTCCTCATCAGCTTCCCTATGCGGTCAGTGGTTCCCTTGATGTATGGCAAGAACACTTTTCCTCTGGGTGGATCTTTGTCTTTACTCTCGTGGCTTGTTTTGGTCTTGCAGCTCTTCTGATGTCTGAGGTGGAGTCTCCATTGGCCTGGAGAGCCCAGTTGAGGTGGTTCAGTTCATCTTGGAGGAGGTGGGGTTCGCAGATTCTTTTTGCACAGTCTGCCAAGGCTTTAATGGTGCTTCTTTTTTGACTTGGGTGATGGTTGGAGTTTTTATGTAGATATCTATCTGTGTGTGTGGGTTTTCTGTAAACAGTGTGACCCAATTGTTGATCTGGTTTACGGATGACTAGGACATGTAGAAAAGGCAGTCTTCCTTCATTTTCTTTTTCCGTGGTGAATTGGATGTTTGGGTGGATGCCGTTCTTCCTAATGTTTAGGCAGAATCTCTTTCCCTGGAATTTGAATCCGTTGCTCCGTGTCCTCAGAAGGACTCATGGTTCCCAGACCTTTGATCATTTTGGTCTCCCTTCTCTGGACATGTTCCATCTTGTCCAATATCCTTCTTGAATTACTTTGTCCAGAATTGGACACAAGGTTGTTCCAGGTGAGGCCTGACCAAAGCAGAATAGAGTGGAACTATGACTTTCCTCAGTCTAGACCAGGCATGGGCAAACCTGGGCCCTCCAGGTGTTTTGGACTTCAACTCCCACAATTCAATTTACTTGGATCTGTGCACATAATTCAAAAATACATCACACAGTCCTAAACGCTTGGGAAGTGTTTGACTTGTGATTTTGCAATACAGAATCCAGCATATATATCTTGTTTGCTGTGTCACACTGTGTTTTTGTGTCAGTAAAATACTTTATTTATACCCCACCACCATCTCGCATTGTGCCCTGTCTCATGTACAGAGGAGGAATTGTTGGAGGCTAGAGACAATGCTGTTGCTGTTGCTGTTGCCCGTTCTTGGTCAAAAGATATTTAGCTGCCTGCACCCCTTCTATTTTTATCAGTTTTATACTAATTTATGCAATGCTTCTGATAGGAAATAATAATCTCCCATAGGGACTTGGGGCAGCTTACAAAATAGCATGCAAAGAAGCCATATATAAAATGCATAATACATAAAATAAAATGCATCAACATGAAAACAATATACATAGCAAATAACTAGTGGAATCATAGAATCATAGAGTTGGAGGAGACCTCATGGGCCATCCAGTCCAACCCCATTCTGCCAAGAAGCAGGAATATTGCATTCAAATCACCCCTGACAGATGGCCATCCAGCCTCTGTTTAAAAGCTTCCAAAGAAGGAGCCTCCACCACACTCTGGGGCAGAGAGTTCCACTGCTGAACGGCTCTCACAGTCAGGAAGTTCTTCCTCATGTTCAGATGGAATCTCCTCTCTTGTTGTTTGAAGCCATTGTTCCGCGTCCTAGTCTCCAAGGAAGCAGAAAACAAGCTTTCTCCCTCCTCCCTGTGGCTTCCTCTCACATATTTATACATGGCTAATAGTGGAGGCTTGAATAAGGTTGCTATTTCCAACATGAACTCTCCCTAGAAGCCAAGATGATGAAACATATCATGAGGAGGCATGACTCACTAGGAAAGACACTCATGCTTGGTTAAGGTGGAAGGTGGCAGGAAAAGAGGAAGACCACATTCCGGATGCCTAGACTCTATTGAGGAAGCCTGAGTCTGCAAGACCTGAGCTGGGCTTTTGAGGATAGTGACGTAGAAGTGTCTCACTCATGGGGTTGTCATCAGTTTCAGTCGACTTGATGTAGTTATCAATAAGAAAGAAGCTGCGAAAGAGGCAGGCACTGGATAATTGGGCTGCTCAGAGCAGATGGATGCTGCTGCTCTCCTCTCTCCCTTGTATCAAGTACCTCTGTTAGCCTTGTCCAAAAGACAAAGAATTCCTACTGATTCCAGGATGCGTCGTTTGGGAATGGCAAGACCCCGGTTTCTGATTTCTCCTTGTTCTTGCCAGGTCTATGAGGTGCCACCACCAGCTCGCCCCTGTCCTTTGCCCCCAGAGAGCATCTACCGGGTGCCGCGGGGCACCAGAAGAGATGGGGATCCTGCAGAGGTGAGTAGTACTTCTACTTATGCTGGGCTCTGATTTTTATTTTATTTTTGTCATGTCAGGACTGACTTGAGAAACTGCAAGTTGCTTCTGGTGTGAGAGAATTGGTCGTCTGCAAGGATGTTGCCCAGGGGACACTCGGATGTTTTGATGTTTTAACATCCTTGTGGGAGGCTTCTCTCATGGGGAGCTGGAGCTGATAGAAGGAGCTCATCCGCACTCTCCCCAGGTTCGAACCTGTGACCTGTCGGTCTTCAGTCCTGCCGGCACAGGGGTTTAACCCACTGCGCCACCAGGGGCTCTGATCAAAACTTGAGACAGTTCCTTATGGGGTGCTGAAAACTCACATCCCTCCCCATTGGATTGAGAGCCTGACCTGGCTTTTAATGCCCACCTGTGTATAGTCCAGGCATGGTCCAACTTTGGCCCTCCAGGTGTTTTAGACTTCAGCTCCCACAATTCCTAACAGCCTAGTGGGAGTTGAAGTCCAAAACACCTGGAGAGCCTAAGCTGGTCCTTACCTGTTGTAGTCTATAGGCAGAAAGCAGTATGTTTAGTTAGAAGGAGAGCTTCTAGGAATCTAGAACAGTGGTTCTCAACCTTCCTAATGCCATGACCCCTTAATACAGTTCCTCATGTTGTGGTGACCCCCAACCATAAAATTCTTTTCATTGCTACTTCATAACTGTAGCTACTGTTGTGAATCGTAATGTAAATATCTGATATGCAGGATGTATTTTCATTCACTAGACTAAATTTAGCAAAATACCTGATGCGCCCAAATCTGAATTTGATTTTGTCATTTGGGAGTTGCAGTTGCTGGAATTTATAGTTCACCTACAATCAAAGAGCATTCTGAACTCCAGCAATGATGGAACTGAACCAAACTTGGCACACAGAACTCCCATAACCAACATAAAATACTGGAAGGGTTTGGTGGGGATTGACCTTGAGTTTGGGAGTTGTAGTTCACCTACATCCAGAGAGCACTGTGGACTCTAACAATGATTGAACTTGGCACAAATACTCAATATGCCCAAATGTGAACACTGTTAGAGTTTGGGGAAAATAGATAGTGACATTTGAGAATTGTAGTTGCTGGGATTTATAGTTCACCTACAATCAAATAGCATTCTGAACCCCACCAATGATAGAATTGGGCCAAACTTCCCACACAGAAATCCCCACGACCAATAGAAAATAGTGTGTTTTCTGATGGTCTTTGGCGATGGTCTCTGACACCTCAGGTTGGGAAACGCTGATTTAGAACATCTGTATCAATATTATTTCCCCCTTGCCTCCATTTCCTTCCCTTTCATATAAACTTAAGAGTTAGAAGAGACTGCAAAGGCCACCTAGTCCAACCCCATGACATGTAAGGATACATAACTAAACAATTCCTGAAATATATCCATCTGACCTCTATTAAAAGGCTTCCAAAGATGGAGAGTCCTTTCCTTAAGCATCTGGGATGTATTTGCTCAGTTTTGCTCAACTTGGTGCCCTTTCAGGTCAGCTGGCTCCTTGGGACAACAACCTTTTCTTGGGTAAAGCAATAGTAATGATAAGGGGCGTCCATGCTTTCTTCCCGTATTTCTTTACATTTTGCATGTTGACCAGTCCAAAGTGTATCCTTTCAAAATCGTCACAGTTATCAGTCACCTTTTGATAACTATGCCATTTGGATGTGCTTTGGCTCCTGCCGCTATCTGCTGGTGGGTTTGCCTGTCTCCTGCGGAGCATCGCCTTGTTGAGCAGCTGGCTCCATTTGTCACAAAAGACAGCTGGGTCCCTCCTGGTCTCTGAGTGTAACCCTATCACAGGCCAAATGTGGAGACGGCTTGCTCTTGAACCAATTTGGGGGCTTTTTCGGGCCCTAGATGGATGGAGACTCAGCAGGCAGCGGCAGCTGGGAAGCAAGGAGGTGGCAGCTGGCTCAGACCGTAAAATTGAAGGGCTACGTTCCGAGATTGGAGGCAGCAAGTCTGGTTGAGCAAAAATGGGGTGCTCTTTGGACTCAGAGAGCATCTGTGCCAACATTTGAGACATATATATTTTTTTGCAGCTTCCAGAATCCCCTACTCAAACATATCCAGTAGGCAAAGGCTGCATGGCCATCTGTTGGGTAGGCTCTGATTGTGTGTTCCTGCAAAGCAGGGGGTTAGACTGAATGGCTCTTGTGGTCTCTTCCAACTCTGTGATGTATGATTATTTATGATTAGGCAACTATGAAAAAGAAAAGTTTCCAAAATCAGATTATTTTCATTGAAATACTTGTAATAATAATAGGTAAAGGTAAATGTTGTCCCCTGACATTAAGTCCAGTCGTGTCCGACTCTGGGGTGTGGTGCTCATCTCCGTTTCTAAGCCGAAGAGCCAGTGTTGTCTGTAGACATCTCCAAGGTCATGTGGCCAGCATGACTGCATGGAACGCCGTTACTTTCCCGCCGGAGTGGTACCTATTGATCTACTCACATTTGCATGTTTTCAAACTGCTAGGTTGGCAGAAGCTGGGGCTGACAGCGGAAGCTCACGCCGCTCCCCGGAAGCGAACCTGCGACCTTTCAGTCAACAAGCTCAGCAGCTCAGCGCTTTAACCCCTGCGCCACCGGGGGTTCCTGTAGTAACAATAATAATACAACTTCATTTACGTATATTCCACCCTATCTCCCAGAAGGGACTCGGGGCGGATTCCAGTCACAAAAAGGCAAACATTCAATGCCTGGATATAGCAAACAATACATACCTAATAGCATAAAAATAATAACCCAACATATAACAATAAATTATAACTTAACATCTAGAATTAAGATAAACATAACCTATCAAATAAATTACATCAACATATATTGTTGTGGTTTTATCATAGCACTTGGTGGGGAATTGGGGAAAAGAACAGAGGTATTTATAAACAGATACAGTAACTGAACCAAATTTGGAGGAACTGGGAGACCCATTAAAGCAGCATTTCTCAACCTGGGGGTCGGGACCCCAGGGGGGTCGCGAGAGGGTGTCAAAGGGGTCGCCAAAGACCAATTAGAAAACAGTCTTTTCTGTTGGTCATGGGGGTTCTGTGTAGGAAGTTTGGCCCAATTCTATCATTGGTGGGGTAAATTAAAATTTAGCAAACTTTAATTACTCTCTAATGCAGTGGTTCTCAAACCTCCTAATGCAGCGACCCCTTAATATAATTCTTCATGTTGTGGTGACCCCCAACCATAACATTATTTTTGTTGCTACTTCATAACTAATTTTGCTACTGTGATTAATTGTTATGTAAATATCTGATATGCAGGAAGTATTTTCATTCACTGGACTAAAATTGGCCCAGATGAACCCAAATTTGAATACTGCTGGGGTTGGGGTAGGGGGTTGATTTTCTCATTTGGGAACTGTAGTTGCTGGGATTTATAGTTCACCTACCATTGAAGAGCATTCCAAACTCCACCAACAATGGAATTGAACCAAACTTGGCACACAGAACTTCCATGACCAACAGAAAATACTGGGTTTGGTGGGCCTTGATCATGAGTGTTGGAGTTGTAGTTCACCTACATCCAGAGAGTGTATCTGGACCAAACTTGGGACAATTATGAACACTGGTAGAGTTTGGGGAAAATAGACTTGAAATTTGGAAGTTGTAGTTGCTGGGATTTATAATTCAACAACAATCGAAGAGCATTCTGAACCCCACCAACGATAGAATTGGGCCAAACTTCCCACACAGAACCCCCATAACCAACAGAAAATACTGTGTTTTCTGATTGTCTCTGGCGACCCCCCTGACACCCCCTCGTAACCCCCCCCCCAGGGTCCCCACCCTCAGGTTGAGAAACGCTGACTGAAAGGAACACACAAACAAAGGTTAGTCAGTAAGAAAGACGGAAAGAACTCTGTTACCTTCCAGACCCCAATCTGAGTATGTGTTTTTTCTTTTTCTTAAAGGAGCTTTAAAACCAAATATTTGGAAATGCTGCATGAAAGAAAAAAGCAAACCAGCAAAAAGAAATTCTAGATAAAGCTGAGTCTGTTGCAATTCTGACTTAGTTAAGCAAAACTTACTCAAGACTTATTCCTGAGATAAGCAGGAATGAGACAGAGCCAAACTGATAATGACAAATTGCTGCTCAGAAATCATCCTATATTATGGGGTAATGACTTGACAGAATGCCTGTCGAAAAGCATTCAAGGACATTTGACATGTTTGGCTTGTAAATGGAGAAATTTGGAAATGGACACAGTGTCTTGACTACAAATGTGAAGGACTGGGGTGAAAAGCTGGGCGGGCGGGGGGGGGGGGGGACCAAACTGTTTACCTCCTTTTTTCAAATTATATTTTTCTGGATTAAAATAGAAATGGATTGTGGAGTAAGAATTAAAATCGTTAAGATGAGGTATTCCTATATTTTCTCCTCCTGCGTCATTTCCAAAAACTATGCAGTAAGTAGTTTCTCATATCATTGCTGTTGTTGATCTCTTTATACACTTATTATTTTCACAGGAAAAATACATTTAACATATCAAACATAATTGTGCCAAAGACAGTCATATGTCATGCTTTTTATATTCCTAAATTATATAAAAAAGACCCTGTGTAATTTGTGATTTGAGCATTGAACTACAACTTTGGAGACAAGAGTTTAGAATGAGTGTAGGATTTTGTGATTGTATATTTTGCTCAGTTTATTAGCTTGGATACTCAGTGTTGCCTGGGTTATTTGAAAAAGTCATTTTTAAAAATTTTCCAAAATGCATAAGGTTGTGGGTGAACTACAGCTCACATCTTGCCAGGTTAACCCCCTGAAACGCCATCAGTACTTAGTCATGTTGGGCAGGTTTGCTCTAGATGCATCATCAGTGGGGTTCAGTGTCTTCTCTGACTGCAGGGTAAACTACAACTCCCACCATGGTGAGTCAGTTCCCTCAAACCCCTACAGTAAGTTCAGTTAGTCCTGGGGGTTCTGTGTGCCAAGTTTGGTCCCAGTTTATTGTCGGTGGTGGCCACAGTGTCTCTGGATGTAGGTGAACTACAACTGCCAGAAATGAAGATCAGTTCCCCTCAAACCCCTCCAGTATATTTAGTTGGCCATGAGGGTTCCATGTGCCAAGTTTGATTTAGATACATCATTAGTGGGGGATCACAGTTTCTCTGGTTTTAGGTGAACTGCAAATCCCAAAACTCTCAAAACCACTCAAATCCCCTCCCAAACCACTCAAATTTGGGCGTATCAGGTATGAATGCCAGGTTTGATCCAGGTCCATCATCGGTGGAGATCACAGTTTCTCTAGTTGTGGGTGAAAAGTCAGTTTCCCCCAAACCCCTCCAGTAATCAAATTTGGGCATATCAGGTTTGGTCCAGATCCATCGGCTTTTGGGTTCACCATGCTCTCTGGTTGTAGGTGAACTACAACTCTTCCAAATCAAGGTGAATTTCTCCCAAAGCCCTCCCAGTATTTTTTTTTTTTTTTGGTGGTCATGGGGGATCTGTGTGCCAAGTTTGGCCCAATTCCCTTTTTGGTGGGGTTCAGAGTGCTCTTTGAATGCAGGTAGACTATAAACCCACCTGCAAATCAAGGTGAAATCCTCCCAAACCTTGTGGATTACTGTTAAAAATAGGCCTAACAATTACTACACCCCATGCTGCACCATGACTTGATATTAATATTGAAATAGTACAGTAATTTAAAACAAATTATGAGAAATAAAGAGAAATTTAACTTAATATAACAGTTTCATTCTAAAATTAGCTTTTTAATAGGGTATTTTTAGTTTAGATTATCACAAGGCAACAAAATCAAACTTTTTGTAATCATCAGAAATGAGAGCAGCACAGTTCAAATCAATCTATATGCTGATTTTAAATATGTCTTTATTTTTTTCTGCCACGTCAACTTTTTAAAATATGACAAATGGTACATTACAGTGGACTACTGTAGAGTCTGCACATTTGACATCACATTCGTGTAACACAGTGGTTCTCAACCTTCCTAATGCCCCGACCCCTTGATACCATTTCTCATGTTGTGGTGACCCCCAACCATAACATTATTTCGTTGCTATTTCATAACTGTAATTTTGCTACTGTTATGAATCATCATGTAAATATATGATATGCAAGATGTATTTTCATTCACTGGATCAAATTTGGTACAAATACCCAATACGCCCAAATTTGAATACTGGTGGGGTTGGGAAGGGGTTGATTTTATCATTTGGGAGTTTTAGTTGCTGGGATTTATAGTTCACCTACAATCTAAGAGCATTCTTAACTCCACCAACGATATAATTGAATCAAGCTTCCCACACAGAACCCTCGTGACCAACAGAAAATACTGTTTTCTGATGGTCTTTGGAGACCCCTCTGACACCCCCTCGCGAACCCCTCAGGGGTCCCAACCCCCAGGTTGAGAAACACTGGTGTAACACAAGCCAACAAATATTTTCATCAGATATAATTTTAGGTCATTCTTACAGAGTTTTTTTGTGCTGAATTCAGATCAGTGTTTATTTTTTCTCTATCACGTGTAGTTTTTGCAATGAGGCTAATCAAATAATCAATGCATTTACGCACTAAGATCAATTAGATTCTATGGATATCAGTGTGTAAATGCATGAATTATTTGATTAGCTTCATTGTAAAAACTACATATGGTAGTGAAAAAATAAACACAGATCTGAATTCAGCTCAAAAAACTCTATAAGAGTGACCAAAAAATGATGTCTGATGAAAAATACTTGTTGGCTTGTGTTATTTGTGCTTTAAGCATACCAGTTGCTTGAGTTCCAATTAACAGAGAGTCTACTGTAAATAAATAAATGGTGATGATGATAATTATCTATATATTGAAATCAAATGCATAAATTGACACTTCTGCCCACAGTCACTGACCAATTGCCCATTTCTTTCACTCTTTTCCATTGGCAGGTTTATGATGTCCCCTCTTCTGTACTCCGGGACTCTCCGTCTGACACGTATGACTCACCCTCTCCGTGCCCCAAAAAGGTGGCCCGTGTGGCCCCACAACCCACTGCCCCGCCACCTTCCGACGACCCTTACGACGTTCCCCTTGCCTTCAAGAAACTCCCAAGCCAAGAGGTGGAAGAGGAGGAGGAGGAGGACAGAGACCCTGAGAGTCCCCTAGTTTATGCCACCCCATCTAATCTACGCCGGGCTTCAGCGTTGCTTAACCTGTACGAGTCGCCCGAGGAAGTGTTAGCGGAAAATGCAGAGGAGAAGGAAGAGAAGAAGGAGGAAGAGGAGGAAGAAGATGGAGGTATCTACGATGTTCCTCTGCTGGTCTCTAGTTCTCCGCCCCTTGAAGGGACTCTCCAAGGACTGAGCCTGCGGGAACCCGGACCCCCGTCCCGTCCGCGCCTGCCTTCAGCGGAAAGTCTGTCCCGCCGCCCGTTGCCTGCCCTTCCCAGCGAAGAACGTCTGTCAACGGAGCCTCCTCCACCCTCCCCAAGCATTGTGAGGAAGGGCAGCATCCAGGACCGCCCGCTCCCGCCACCACCACCCCGACTGGGGGGTCTTGGAGCCGGGGAGCCAATAGAACAAGTCAGGGATGATGGCCACAATGAATATGAAGGAATCCGCTTACCGGATGAATATGACTATGTTCACCTCAAGGTAAGGAGAACAGAAGCTGAGATTATGATGCAGCCTTTAGCTCATCAGCCTAAGATATGTTATTACTGAACTCTTGGGATAGATTGGCCTCTAATCCAACCAATTTGGGAGCACAGTTGTCCATACAGATTTTGTGGATTGGTTATTCACAAAGTTTATGGTCTCTAGGTTCCTCCAGTGTAACCCTCTGGTCAGCTTCCTCCAGTCATGATGAAGGACCAAATATTTTTTTGAGGGAATACCTTTCTAGAAATCTCTAGAGCAGGTATGGGCAAACTTAGGCCCTCCGGGTGTTTTGGACTTCAACTCCCACAATTCCTAACAGTCTACCGACTGTTATGAATGATAGGAGTTGAAGTCCAAAACACCCGGAGGGTCCAAGTTTGCCCATGCCTTACATAGGTCCTCCAGTGCCATTCTGTGGTCCCTTTCCAATGTGAGTTGACAGTAGAGTTGCACTGGAAGATCTAGACCAGTGGTTCTCAATCTGGGGTCCCCAGATGTTTTTGGTCTACAACTCCCAGAAATCCCAGCCAGTTTACATGCTGTTAGGATTTCTGGGAGTTGAAGGCCAAAAACATCTGGGGACCCCAGGTTGAGAACCACTTATCTAGACATTGGTAGCAATATAGCATGTTTTTATTTACCATGTTTCACTTTCACTGAGGTTCTGAGTCCCTGGATCTAAATCCAGTATATTAGTACAATGCGCAAACCAAGTTGGCTGTTTTTCACCCTGGAACCCACCCAATCTTTCAACTCATTGTAGCTCTACAGAATGTGGAGTAGATCCATAATATAGCCTTCATTTGATCACTTTTTTTCACTACATTTGTGGGCCATTTTCTCACCAGTTTGTCCCAAACCCATCAAATGAATACCCAATTCCTGGCTCTCTCTTCTTAGGGGGCAGATAAAATCCAGCCAAAAGCGACCACTCCAGAAGGCAACCCTGGACTCACGTTACCAACAGACACTGCGCAGACAGAAGAAATGGTATCTTGATACTTTTCATTTTGTAATTAATATATTTTTAACCCTCTTCCATAAAGAATCCTCCCATAGTGTGTCCTTTATTCTCTTCCTTTTAAAGCTGAAACTGACCAAGAGGTGCTCTGTGAAGGTGAAATGGTCACTTTATAACAGCAACAAGACTCCAACTCTCATCTATTAAGAGTGTTCAACATCTCTCTTTCTCTTTCAAAACTTAAAGAGACAAATGAAAAAGATATCTGTTGTTATGGTCCATCATTTTTAGCTTCCCATAATCTTTTCTTGGATTGCATTAAATATCCTAGCATTATTCTGGGGAATTATTGATGGCCATGTGTATAAAGTGTATATTAAATACCAAATATAAGCCAAGGCACCTAATGTTACCACAAAAAACTGGGAAACGGCATTGACTCGAGTAGAAGCCAAGCGTGGGAAATGCAGCAGCTGGTAGATTTCAAAATAAAAATGCATACCAATAAAATTACATTAATTGGGGCATCAATAGGTTAAATGTTTTTGAATATTTATATAAAAACTTTAATTTAAAATAAGACTGTCAAACTGTGATTAAACTATTATTCTAACCTTCTTCAATGTAAATGTAATAAATGTAATAATAAATTGAGTAAAATAATAAATGTAAGAACAATAGAAGTAATAATAGCAATAAATAGAGTAAAATAATAAATATAATAATAGAGTAAAATAATTAATATAATAATAATATTGTCAAAGGCTTTCATGGCCAGAATCACAGGGTTGTTGTAGGTTTTTTCGGGCTATATGGCCATGTTCTAGAGGCATTCTCTCCTGATGTTTCGCCTGCATCTATGGCAAGCATCATCACAATCTCTGGGGATGTTTGCCATAGTTGCAGGCAAAATGTCAGGAGATCTATGGCAAGCATCCTCAGAGGTTGTGAGACTTCCACAGATATATAAATCTCACTTGCCTAGCATCCAACTGACCTCACAACCTCTGAGGATGCCTGTCATAGATGTGGGTGAAACATCAAGAGAGAATGCTTCTGCAACATGGCCATACAGTCCGGAAAACTCACAGTAACCCAGTGGTTATGGCCATGAAAGCCTTCGACAACACAGTATTTAAAAATGTCCAGAAAGCACATTTCCAGTGTTGACAAAAGGCAATTTCTGTTAGATCCCATTTTGAAAACAGTGGTAAAGATTAAACCTGTTGCCATCTCACATCTTTTCCTGTTTTCTAGGCACCACCTTCCCCAGAGGACAGCCAGCTCCTGCAGTTTTACACAGGGCAATGCCAGACTCATTACACAACCCTTCTGACGGCCATTGAAGCCCTGCTTGCCAGTACGGGTGCCCACAAGCCCCCATGGGTCTTTGTTCCTCACGGCAAATTTGTCATTGTCACGGCGCACAAACTGGTCTTTGTGGGGGACACAGTCTCACGGCTGGCCTCCTCAGCCACGGTGCGGACACAGGTGGGCACTGCTAGCGGCTCACTCTGCCAGGCGCTGAAAGAAGCCGTGCGCTCGGTCAAGAACGCTGCCTTGCACTACCCGTCGCCTCCTGCCGCCCAGGAGATGTGCGAATGCGTGGCCGAACTCTCCCGACAAGCCTTGGCCTTCACCTCTTTGCTGGGCACCTTGGCACCCTCTTGATCCTGTGCTCTCCTTCCCCTCCTCGCCAGCAAAGTCTGATCCATGGTCTGAGAGAAACAGAGACGGACACTAGAATCCCTGGTGCCAATCATCATTGTGTCATTTCAGACCTCTTACTGTGGTGGTGCCATGTGGACTCCAGCAAATTGTGTGCCAAAAGTGTGTCTGTTGGGTCACCTTCCACTGGTGCCAATGTTACATTTCGGATCTCTGACTTACAACACTGTTTTATGGCCACCAACATTGTCCATAATGGAGATGTAGGCAGACACTGGTGCCAATAATTACTACATCATTTCAAGACGTCTTATGCAATATTGACCCTCCGGACGCTAGCAATACGTGTGCCAAAACGTGCCTGTTGGGTCACCTTGCATCAGTGCCAATGTTTAATTTTGGAGCTCTGACATCCAGCTCTCTCAAATGTTCAATATTGTCCATAATGGAGATGTAGATGGACGCTAGAATCCCTGGTGCCAATGACTACCGTGTCATTTCAAGACCCATTTTTGCTGTTGGTCACTTTGCATCGGTGCCAATGTTTCCTTTTGGGACTCTGATTTCCAGCACCATTGTCTCTAATGAGTCTTTGCTCCATGACATTCCTTTAGTTCAGTGATTCCCAAAGATTAGTCTTCTGGGTGGTTTAGACTTCAGGTCCCACATCTCAGCTGTCTTGGCCAATGACCAGGATTCTGGGAAGTCCAAATGACCGGGATTCTGGGAACGAGAGTGCAAAACACCGAGAAGGCCAGAGTTTGGGAAACAGACATTTTTGGCTTCTCTATGTGGCTCTTGGTCCATAATTTCAAGCTCCTTACAAGTATCAAATCTGTGCCACTTCATCGTGTTTAGGCCTCATTCTTTGCAGGTACAAAGATGGCATTACCTTCGTTCCACTCCAGTTTCGATCGTTTGGTCGTTCTCCTAACCAAAGAGCTTTTCTAGTATTGTCGAAGGCTTTCATGGCCGGAATCACTGGGTTGTTATAGGTTATTTCGGGCTATATGGCCATGTTCTAGAGGCATTCTCTCCTGATGTTTCGCCTGCATCTATGGCAAGCATCCTCACTACCTCTGAGGATGCTTGCCATAGATGCAAGCGAAACGTCAGGAGAGAATGCCTCTAGAACATGGCCATATAGCCCGAAAAAACCTACAACCCAGCTTTTCTAGTGTTTCTCCTTACCGTGTTCTCCTCCAGTTGATGTTCAAAATGGTTCTACCAACAGGAAATATTTTTCCCAAAAGTTCTGCTGTTGAGATGAGGTTGCAAACCCAAATATATGGGGCAAGACATGGCTGCTGCTTCCCACAAACTTGATATTAGGGACGCAACCCTATGCACATACACACATCCAAATAAAAGCCTTCATGGGAAAGGAATAAGGAGCAAATTTGGGAGGAAACACTCCTCATTTGGTAACAGTCGTCTGGATAGGACGGAGGGAGGAAAAAAGCCCCAAAATGGGAATAGCCAGTATAAATATAGCAGAGAAGATAATGGAGAAAAAGGGAGGGGAGGATTAGTCCAGATAAAGCAAACAAATGCAGAAAGTTCTGCCAAATCCAAAAGGGAAGCAAAGAAATCTGGGGCACAAGCAAAGAAGCCAAAGGTGAGGAAGGAAATGATAAAAATAGACAATAGAGTGATTGGTCAATGTCGACTTTATATGCTACATAATACAGAGCACAGAGTTGGGCACCTGAATAGTGGAAGGGCTGCATATAGGGGTTATCTGGGGGAAAGGAAGCCTTGCTGGGGCAGTTGGCAGAGATCCATTTACTCAGGTCTTTGCTTCTCTGAAATTTCTCAATTAGTTTTGCATTCTTTACTGAATAGGTGCCAACTGGTTTTCCCAAGTTATAAACATATCTATGTATAGGTACGCAAAAAACCTTTCGGATCATTTCCTCACCAAAAGCAAACTGGGTCAAAGCATCTCTCTCAGGAAATATTTGCCAAGTTGTTTTCTAGGTTTGGTCATAATAAAAATGGTGCAAAATGAAACAACTGTGTGTTTTGCTTCCTTCCAAATTCAATTTCCCCTCCTAGCCACTGGGAACCAGTTTCATTCTTAATAAGAGATATATTACTGTTCATATAATACAGCAAAGAGATTGGAAATACAATGAGCAAAACAATCAAACCACAATCCTTCATGCAACCATTTATTAAAACCAGGTATTGTTCACAAAAGTCGCATAAAATTTAAGATGCAGCAATCAAAATTAATGTGTAGTCAAAGGCTTTCATGGCTAGAATCACTGGGTTGCTGGGAGTTTTCCAGGCTGTATGGCCATGTTTTTGCCTTATTATTTCATTTCAGGAGACACTCATGATGTGAACACAACCCACTGTGGCATAAAAGTACTGAATGGATGTCACTCCATTTTGCTTTACAAAGGCAAGTAGATAAATCAATTGGTAGTCTCCGTCCAGGTGGCCTTCTGTCAGGAGGGATCGGATGGTGTCTCCATCCATTATGGCGGAAGGGGTTTAGACTAAATAGCCTTTAGAGATCCCTCCCAACTCCAGGATTCTATACCTATCATATATCTTTCTCAATTGCATCTATGTATGTATCTATCTGACTCAATCAAACATATGGTTGGATGGTCCTCTGTCAGGAGGGATCAGATGGTGTCTTCCTACATTATGATGGAAGGGGGTTAGACTAGATGGTCTTCAGAAGTCCCATTTGTAGGATTCGATACTTATCATATATCTTAATAACATCTATGTATCTATCTGGCATTTCGCCCACATCTATGGCAGGCATCTTAAGCGGTTGGGAGGTCTATTGGAAACTAGGCAAGTAAGGTTTATATATCTCTGGAATAATATCCAGGGTGGGAGGCAAGTGTGAATGTTTCAATTGGCCATCTTGATTAGCATTAAACGGCCTTGCAGCTTATTTATTTATTTATTTAAAACATTTATATTCCGCCCTTCTCACCCCGAAGGGGACTCAGGGTGGAGCACAGCATATACACAGCAAACATTCAATGCCGAGACACAAATTCAAATACACATACATAAACATTTAAAAACATTTATCAAAATATTAAAGTACACCATTTAAAACCGCCCTAGTCATCAAAGCCTGGCTGCTACCTACCTGGGGGAATCCTTTGTTGGGAGGCATTAGCTGGCCCTGATTGCTTCCTGACTGGAATTCCTCTGTTTTTGGGGTGTTGCTCTTTGTTCACTGTCCTGGTTTTAGAGGTTTTTTTGATACTGGTAACCAGATTTTACTCATTTTCATGGTTTCCTCCCTTCTGTTGAAATTGTCCACATGTTTGTGGATTTCAGTGGCTTCTCTGTGTAGCCTGACATGATAGTTGTTAGAGAATCCTCCAACAAAGTATTTCCCTAGGCAGGTCGCAGCCAGGCTTTGAAGCTGCAAGGATATGCAATGCTAATCAAGGTGGCCAATTGCAACATTCACATTCGCTTCAAACAGATGAGTTCTTTCTCCCACCCTGGAAACCCTGCAGATATATAAATCCCGCTTGCCTAGTTTCCAACAGATCTCACAATCTCTGAGGATGCCTGCCATAGATGTGGGCGAAACGTCAGGAGAGAATGCTTCAGGAACATGGCCAAATAACCTGGAAAACTCACAGCAACCCAATCAAACTCAATGCTCAAAAGGTGAATAAACAAAATTCTCATCTTTATAAAATAAAGAAATGAGATCCCAACGCAGTGGTGTCTGGCAAGTTTGTAGGACAGAAACTACTGTGCCCAATGGGCACAGATGTTGGCGAGATCCCTAGTACATTGAGGGGGGAAATAATATCTGTTGGTCCTCCATATCAAATAATCTGAGAAATATTTCTCTAAAAGAGCAATATCAAACATTTTAAAATGTAATCACCTGATCATGTGGGAACAATCCTGTTTGCCTTAACGTCCACGTCATCAGATGGATCTCCAGCCTGTAAAGTTAAAAATATGTGTTTCTCTTGTGAGCAAAGAACATTCTGTCTCTGTCTCCTGCCTACTATCACGGCCCTTTGTGGCTTAATGGTAGCTTCTCTTTCAAAACTGTTTTTGTCATATTCCTGTCTGGCACCATGAAAAAAATTCAGAAGAAACCAAAAGTGAAAAAAAAGAAGCCCAGATGACACTTTAGGATCAAATGTTTCCAGAATGATCTGACCGGGAAGAGAAGGAAGTTACCTAGTAGTGTAGTTGCGGTTAGCTCTATGGGTTAAACCCTTGTGCTGCTGAACTGCTGCCCTGAAGGTAGGCAGTTCGAAGCAGGGGGTTGCTGTTAGCACTAGCTCTTGCTAACTTAGCAAATGTGAGTAGGTCAATAGGTACCGCTTCTGTGGGAAAGTCATGAAGGCACCCATGCAGCCATGCTGGCAACACGTCCAGGAGGTATCTATGGACAAAAAGGCTCCTGAGCTTGCAGATGGAAAAAGAGCACCTCCCCATGGCCATTGCTGAGCACCACCTCCGGAAAGCCAGAGATGAAGGGGAAGCTTTTACCTTTATTCTATGTATTGTTGGGCAAGTGAGCTTATTAACAAAAGACCCTCCCCGTTAATGTATAGCAGAGAAACTTATTAGCAGCAGCATGACACAGCACTAGTAGCCCAAAGTGCTAAAAAGAACAAAACCACACAGACCAATAGCCATAGGAAGCTTTTCTTTGTAGTAAAATAATATGGTTACACTATTTACAAGAACAAGGTTTCTATAACACAAATAAAGTTCTTTATACTTCCTTCATTGCTTCCACACTGGGCTTCTTTCTTATGCAGATAAACAGCTTCACTCTCACAGAGCCACCTCTCAGACTGAACTTACACAGGAGCTTCACACAAAGCCTTTACCCTCTGGCTTCTCTCACCAAAGCTTCTCATACCAGGCCTTCTCACACATGGCCTTCTCATAGACTAAAGCCTACCTCACAGAGAGGCATCTCTCAAAGACTAAGGCCTACCTCACATGGAGGCTTCTCTCACAGACTAAGGTCTACCTCACACAGAGGCTTCTCTCAAAGACTAAGGCCTACCTCACATGGAGGCTTCCCTCACAGACTAAGGCCTACCTCACTGTGAGGCCTTCTCTCAGACTAAGGCCTATCTCACTGCGAGGCCTTCTTTCACAGATTAAGGCCTACCTCACACAGAGGCTTCTCTCACAGACTAAAGCCTACTTCACATTGTGAGACCTTCTCACAGACTGAGACCTGGTCCAACTTGGGCCCTCCAGGTGTTTTGGACTTCAACTCCCACCATTCCTAACAGCCTCGGGCCCCTTCCTTTCTCCCTCAGCCACTTAAGCTGGTTTATATGAGTCTACACCAGGCCTGGGCAAACACGGGCCCTCCAGGTTTTTGGACTTCAACTCACACCGTTCCTAACAACCTCAGGCCCTTTCCTTTTCCCCCTCAGCCGCTTAAGCTTCAAAGTGAGGGCTACTAAGCTACAGGCACACCTGCTTAGGAATGGTGGGAGTTGTAGTCCAAAACACCTGGAGGGAGAGGCCAAGTTTGTCCATGGCTTATCTACACTGCAGAATGAATGCAGTGTGACACCACTTTGACTGCCATGGCTCAATGCTACAGAATGCTGGGAGTTGTAGTCTAACATTTAATGCCTTCTGGGACACTACAACTCTCAAGATACCACACTCGGCCTTCTTGTAGACTAAGGCCTACCTCACACAGAGGCTTCTCTCACAGACTAAAGCCTACCTCACACTGTGAGGCCTTCTCAAGGATTGAGACCTTTCTCCCACTGAGATCTACCTCAAACTGAGGGCTAGTAAGCTACAGGCACACCTGCTTAGGAATGGTGGGTGTTGAAGTCCAAAACACCTGAAGGGAGGGCCCAAGTTTGTCCATGGCTGATCTACACTGTAGAATGAATGCAGTGTGACACCACTTTGACTGCCATGGCTCAATGCTACAGAATGCTAGGAGTTGTAGTCTAATATTTAATGCCTTCTGGGAAACTACAACTCTCAAGATACCACACTCGGTCTTCTTGTAGATGAAGGCCTACCTCACACAGAGGCTTCTCTCACAGGGAGGAGGGAGCAAGCTTGTTTTCTGCTTCCTTGGAGACTAGGACGCGGAACAATGGCTTCAAACTACAAGAGAGGAGATTCCATCTGAACATGAGGAAGAACTTCCTGACTGTGAGAGCCATTCAGCAGTGGGACTCTCTGCCCCGGAGTGTGGTGGAGGCTCCTTCTTTGGAAGCTTTTAAACAGAGGCTGGATGGCCATCTGTCAGGGGTGATTTGAATGCAATATTCCTGCTTCTTGGCAGGGGGTTGGACTGGATGGCCCATGAGGTCTCTTCCAACTCTTTGATTCTATGATTCTGTACTCCATCAGGAGAAGAATTATTTATTTATTTATTTATTTCACAGTTTTCTATACCGAGCTTCTCAACCTCATTGAGGGACTCAGCCCGGTTTCCAGCCATAAAAAACATATACACTCATTAAAATATCATATATCACAATTACAAAAACAACTTTAAAAACACTATATATAAAACCACCATGGTCAGTCGTCCTATTAAGATGGATCTACATCAACTTCCATCCAGGGTCCTATGGTGTTGTCTCATTCATCGAAGGCCTGACTCCACAGCCACGTCTTCACCCGTTTCCTAAATGTTAGGATGGATGGGGCGGTTCTGGCCTCCAGAGGGAGAGAGTTCCAGAGTCGCGGGGCCACCACCGAGAAGGCCCTGTCCCTCGTCCCCACCAGCGCGCTTGCGAGGCCGGTGGGACCGAGAGCAGGGCCTCTCCAGATGATCTTAATAATCTTGATGGTTCGTAGGGGAGAAGAAAGCCTACCTCACACTGTGAGGCCCTCTCACAGATTTAGACCTTTCTCCCACTGAGGTCTACCTCAAACTGAGGGCTACTAAGCTACAGGCACACCTGCTTAGGAATGGTGGGTCAACTTAGGGGGCCCAAATTGGACCAGGCCTGCTGTAGAACGAATGCAGTTTGGCACCACTTGCCACTCAATCATGGGATGCGATTGATAGTTTCCCAGTCACTCTTTAGCAGGGAAAGCATTGCAATGCTCCAAACCCCCATCGCGTTGAGTTTAGGCAGTGCCAAAGCGCCTCCATCCTCCTGCAGTGTGGACGCACCCTGTCCTCCTTTCCCTTGGCTGAGTCTCCATAAGCAGCGGAGGGAGGGAAGCCGAAAGGGGAGGGAGGAAAAAGAGGAGGAGGAGGAGGAGGAGGAGGGCTGGCCCTGGAAGCGGCGTCTGCGCAACCTTCCACGGAAGCCAGGATCCTGCGAGAGAGGCTTAGGGGGCCTGTCCGCAAGAGAGGAGCCTTTGGGAGGGGAAGGCCAGCTGCAGGAGCCCCTCGATGGGCCGGGGGACGCCTTGGATGGGGAGCCCACCCTCCCCGCCCAGCGCCTGGTGAGCCGGCCCGGCTGCCTTTTGTTCTCCCCGCTTCCTTTTCCCTTCCTTCTTCCTTCCCTCTTTCTGCCTCGCCTCCCTTCCTCCTTAACAGCCTTTCGCGTTCCCTTCTTTCCTCCTTGATCTCCTTTCTCTGCTGTCCCATTGCCCTTCTTCAGGCTCTCTCTCCTCCCCCTTTCTCCTCCACTCGAAGCCTTTCGCGTTCACCTCTTCATATGATATTTTCCAGAAAGGGAAGGGGGGTGTCCCTTTACCCATCTCTCTCCACCCACCTCCATTCCCTTCCACTCTTTTTAGGGTCTCTCACATTCAACCCTTTTCTCCCTTTCTCTCTTCTTTAGGCTTTATTTCCCTGCGCTTCCTATGAAAGGGAGAGGGAGGTAATCCCTTTCTTCCTCCTATTCTTCCTCCTCCACCCTTCAGGCCTCTTTTCCTCCACACCCCCTTTTTATTCTCCATCCCTCCTTTTCCTCTCTCCTTCCTTCCTTCCTTCCTTCCTTCCTTCCTTCCTTCCTTCCTTCCTTCCTTCCTTCCTTCCCTCCTTCCTTCTTTTCCTTCCTTCCTCCTCCTCCTTCCTTCCTTCCTTCCTTTCTTCCCTTCTTCCTTTTTCTTCCTTCTTTCTTTCTCTTTCCTCCTTCCTCCTTCCTTCCCTTCTTTCCTTCCTCCTTTCCTTCCTTCCTTCTTCCTTCTTCCTTTCTTCTTTCTTTCTCCTTCCTTCTCTTTTTTCCTTCCTCCTTCTTTCTTTCCTTCTTCCTCCCTTCCTTCTGTCTTTCCTCTTCCTTCCTTCCCTTTCTTCCTTCCTTTCCTACTTCCTTCCTTCTTTTTCCTTTCTTTCATCCTTCTTTCTTCCCTCCCCTCTTCCTCCCTTCCTTCTTTCTTTCCTTCATTCCTTTCTCCCTTTCTTTCTTTCTTTCTTCTTCCTTTCTTTCTTTCTTTCTTTCTTCTCTTTCTTTCCTTCCCTTCTTTCCTTCCATTCTTCCTCCTTTCTTCCTTTCCTTCTCTTCTTTCTTTCTTCTTTCCTTCCTCTTCCCTTCCTTTCTTCCTCTTCCCTTTCCTTTCTTTCCTCTTCCTTCCTTCCTTCCTCCTTTTTTCTTCCTCTCTCCTTTTTTCCTTCCTCTTCTTTTTTTTCCTTCCTCCTCTTTTCCTCTTCCTCTTTCCTTCCCCCTTATTTCCTTCCTTCTTCTTACCTTCCTTCCTTTTCTTCCTCCTTTTCCTGTCTCCCTTCACCCATTTCATCTCTCTCCCTACACCTGGCCTTCCCTTCCCCATTTATACTCCTTACCCCCTCATAGATATGGAGGAACAAATTTGCCCTTGATCTGTTTTTCCCTTAGACTGACGCCTCCACCTTTTATTTCTTCATCCCCTTTTCCTCCTCTCCAGTCCTCTCTCTTTTCTGCTCACCACCCACTCTTCCTTCACCCGTCCTTTCGATTCTTTCTCTCCGGTCTTCTCATCTTTTTCTCCGTTTCTTCCCCTATTCCTTCCTTCCACACCCCTTTTAGTCCATTTCTCGTCTTCCTGCCCTTCTTTCTTTCTCCATCCTCCCCAGTTTCCATTCGCTCCCTGTTTGGCTTTCTTTGCTTCCAATTTTCATAGCATTCCCCTTCTTCCTGCCCTTCTTTTCCTTTCCTTTCCTTCCTTCTCAGTCTTTATTCATAGCTGCTTTGAGTTTAATTTAAGAGAGAGGAAATTGATTATTATTATAACATATGCTTTAATACAGGCATGAGCAAACTTGGACCCTCTGAGTGTTTTGAACTCCAATTCCCACCATTCCTACAAGCCTCAGGCTCCTTCATTTTCCCTCTCAGCCTCTTAAGCAGCTAAGGGGTAAAAGGAAAGGGCCTGAGGCTGTTAGGAATGGTGGGAGTTGGAGTCCAAAACACTCGGAGGGCCCAAGTTTGCACATTCCGGTTCTGGATTATATGGTGGTGTAGAAGGGCCCTCGGTATGCCCCATTTCTCTATTTCTTTCTCTCTGCAGACGCTGGCCATGGATTCGAGCCCCCCCACTCCGGACCCCGGGGGCCCACGGAGGGACTTTGCGGCCCCTGCCTCCGAACCGGGGCCACCCTCCTTCGAATGGCTGCTCGGGCGGCTGGGAGCTGGGGGACGGCACCAGCGTCTCCTGCTGGCCCTGAGTTGCCTTCCCTGCCTTCTCCTGGGACTCGGGGACGGCTCTGACTCCCTCTTCACCCTGACGCCCCCCAGGCACTGCAAGGACCCCAATGGCACCCGGCTGCCCGAAAACGTGACCTGCCAAGACACCCATTGTCCGAACTGGGAGTACGGAGGGCTCCCAGCTCTCACCAGCAACCCAGTCACAGAGGTGAGAATCAAAGTTGCAGGAGACCCCAAGGGCCATCCAATACAACCCCTTACTATGCAGGAAAACACAATCAAAGCCATCTTGACAGATGGCCATCCAGCCTATGCTTAAAAACCTCCAGAGAAGGAGACTCCATTACACTCCTAGACAGCAGCATATTCTACTGTCCAACAGCACATATCATCTATATAAATAAAAATGTAATGTTCGTTTGTGGGATTAACATAATTCAGAAACCACTGGTCGAATTGACATGAAATTTTGACATAATGCACCTAACAATCCAACAAGTGTCCATCATCCCTAAAAACACACACAACCACCACCACCACCACCCCAGCAGAACAGACTTAAAAACCCCCAAAATATACCATATATACATACACTCATTCATACACACATTCATACACACATATACAAAACACATATACACAGACTGGACCACAGCAACGCGTGGCAGGGGACGGCTAGTAGAATCATAAAATCCTAGAGTTGAAAGAGATCTCATGCGCCATCCAGCCCAACCCCCTGCCAAGAAGCAGGAAAATCACATTCAAAGCCCTTCCAACAGATGGCCATCCAGTCTCCGGAGAAGGAGATTCCATTACACTCCGAGACAGCAGCAGATTTTACTGTCCAACAGCACTTATCACAGAATCATAGAGTTGGAAGAGACCTCGTGGGCCATCCAGTCCAACCCCATTCTGCCAAGAAGCAGGAAAATTGCATTCAAAGCACCCCAACAGATGGCCATTCAGCCTCTGGTCAAAAGCTTCCAAAGAAGGAGCCTCCACCACACTTGGGGCAGAGAGTTCCACTGCTGAACAGCTCTCACAATCAGGAAGTTCTTCCTAATGTTCAGGGAATCTCCAGCGCAGCAGAAAACAAGCCTGCTCCTCCTCCCTAGGACTTCCCTTTACATCTTGATCAATGGCCCGTATCATGTCTCCTCTCAACCTTCTCTTCTGCAAGCTAAACATGCCCAGCTCTTGTTCTCCAGACCCTTGATCCTTTGAGTCACCCTCCTCTGGACACATTCCATCTTAGAGTCAACATCTCCCTTCACTTGCGGTGGCCAGAATTGGACACAGTGTGATTCCAGGTGTGGTCTGACCAAGGCAGAATAGAGCATGGGGAGCATGACTTCCCTGGATCTATAATAATAAATAATAATAAAACTTTATTTATACCCCACTACCATCTCCCCAAGGGACTCGGTGCGGCTTACATGAGGCCGAGCCCACAATACATCAATACATGCAATAACAACCACAATACAAAGCAAAATACAAATACTAATACAAAGCAATTAAAAATAAAACTCATACATAAATAACATAAACATTGAACAATAGCACAAAACACATTTAAAATCTATGGCTGGGCCAAATGTAATTAAAGTTAAAAAATATAATGCTGGGCATGAACAAGATAGAGGAGGTAGGGCGTTGGTGGAAACGTACAAGCAATCCTAAATCAGTATAAAGTGCTTTTAGAGGACATAATGCTAAGGGTTCATTATTCTGGGAAGGCACACTGGAACCACCACGTTTTCAAGCTCCTCCTAAAGACTGCCAAAGTTGGGGCACGCCTGATGTCCTTAGGAAGTGAGTTCCAGAGACGAGGGGCCACCACCGAGAAGGCCCTCTCTCTTGTCCCCACCAATCGCACTTGCGATGCAGGTGGGAGTGCGAGTAGGCACTAGACTCCTATTTTTGCAGGCCAAAATCCCATTGGCTAGCTTAAGCGGCTGAGGGGGAAAAGGAGAAGGCCTGAGGTTGTTAGGAATGGTGGAAGTTGAAGCCCCAAACACCTGGAGGGCCCAAGTTTGCCCATACCCAATCTGTATCAGGTATTTCCATTTCTGTTCATAACAGTAGCAAAATGACAGTTGTGAAGTAGCAACAAAAATAATGGTATGGTTGGGGGTCACCACAACATAAGGAACTGTATTAAGGGGTTGCGACTTTAGGAAAGTTGAGAACCACTGTCATAGACTAAAGCCTAACTCACACTGTGAGGCCTACCTCACAGGGAAGCCTCTTCACATAGACTGAGAAGTTCTTCCCTCACTGAGGCAAAAACGAATGCTAACAGGCTTCGGCCTACTCACTCTCCTCAGGGCAATGCTAGCTTTGGCCTACTAACTCTAATAGGCTTCGGCCTACTCACTCTCCTCAAGACGACCCTAGGTTTTGCCCAATAACTCTAACAGGCTTTGGCCTATTCACTCTCCTCAGGCCGACGCTAGCTTTGGTCTACTAACAGGCTTTGGCCTACTCCCTCTCCTCAAGGCGACACAAGCTTTGGCCCATTAACTCGTAACAGGCTTCGGCCTACTCCCTCTTCTCAGGGTGACACAAGCTTTGGCCCTCTAACTCTAACAGGCTTCGGCCTACTCCCTCTCCTCAGGGCGACACAAGCTTTGGCCCACTAACTCTAACAGGCTTCATCCTATTCACTCTCCTCAGGGCGACTCTAGTCTTGGTCTACTAACAGGCTTTGTCCTACTCCCTCTTCTCAGGGCGACACAAGCTTTGGCCCTCTAACTCTAACAGGCTTCGGCGTACTCCCTCTTCGCAGGGCGACACAAACTTTGGCCCACTAACTCTAACAGGCTTCGGCCTACTCCCTCTTCTCAGGGCGACACAAACTCTGGCCCACTAACTCTAACAGGCGTCGGCCTACTCCTTCTTCGCAGGGCGACACAAGCTTTGGCCCACTAACTCTAACAGGCTTCGGCCTACTCCCTCTCCACAGGGTGACACAAGCTTTGGCCCACTAACTCTGACAGGCTTTGGCCTACTCACTCTCCTGTAATTTTGCTACTGTTGTGAACAGAAATGGAGATATCTGATACAGATTGGGTATGGGCAAACTTTGGCTCTCCAGGTGTTTGGGGCTTCAACATCAAGCATGGACAAGCTTTGGCCCTCTAACTCTAACAGGCTTCGGCTTACTCCCTCTTCGCAGGGCGACACAAGCTTTGGCCCTCTAACTCTAACAGGCTTCGGCCTACTCCCTCTTCTCAGGGCGACACAAGCTTTGGCCCACTAGCTCTAACAGGCTTCGGCCTACTCACTGTTTCAGTGTTTACCTCACCAAATTATTATTTATTTTGTATCAAAAGCATTGCATAAATTAATATGAAACCGATAAGACTAGAAGGAACGCAGGTGGCTGAATGTCTTTTGACCAAAAATGGGCAAAAGCAACGGCATTGTAGCTTCCAACAATTCTTCCTCTGTACATGAGGCAGGGCGTAGTGAGCAAGCATACAGATGCGGAGTTGTCTGTTCTGCTGCACAGTCACACAAGGTGTGGGATTCTTTTAGGTCGTGCCATTTTGCCAGGTTGTCTTTTAATGTGCCCTCTCCACTTCTGAGTCTGTTCAGGGACTTCCAAGTGGCCCATTCTTTGTTTACCTCACCTCACCAAATGTGCTCTTGGGATTAAATTGATAAAGTACAAAGAACTACATATGCCCTTTTTGACCTTCTTAAAGGAAAGGTAAAGTTTGGAAAGTAAAGTGCCACTCCTTCACGCCGCTGTTACATTCTTGCACTCCTACAGAGTGTGCTTAATTTTAAACAGTCACCAAACCAGTTTTTGGTGCTGGCGGCAGCTCTGGATTGGATGCAAAAGGCCGAAGAGGCTCCTAGCCGAGTGCAGAGTGCCCTTTTGTGATTACACAAGAGGAATTCGAGGCCTGCTCGAAGGTGCTTCTCTTGTTTTGCAATGAGCTCTAACTGCATGAAAGCATTACATAATGGGTTGTTGTAGGTTTTTTCAGGCTATATGGCCATGGTCTAGAGGCATTTTCTCCTGACGTTTCGCCTGCATCTATGACAAGCATCCTCAGAGGTAGTGAGGTCTGTTGGAACTAGGAAAATGGGTTTATATATCTGTGGAAACGTGTATGGCCATGTTCTAGATCAGGGATCCTCAAACCTTTTATACAGAGGGCCAGGTCCCAGCCCCTCAAACTGTTGGAGGGCCGGTTTATAATTTGGGGAAAAAATGAATCAATTCCTATGCACACTGCACATATCTTATTTGTAGTGCAAAAAACACTTAAAACAATCAAACTACACAGAGAAGCCATTGAAATCAACAAGCATGTGGACAATTTCAACAGAAAGGAGGAAACCATGAAAATGAACAAAATCTGGCTACCAGTATTAAAAAAAACTCTAAAATTACAACAGCAAAACAACAGAGAGGAAACAATCAAGGACATCTAATCACTTCTCAACAAAAGATTGCTCCAGGCACTGCCAAGCCATTATATGCTAATCAAGGTGGTCAGTTGAAACATTCACACCTAGCTCCAGCAGACAATAGTCCTTTGTCTCACCCTGGTCATTCCACAGATATATAAACCCTTTTTCCTAGTTCCAACAGACCTCACTACCTCTGAGGATGCTTGCCATAGATGCAGGCGAAACGTCAGGAGAGAATGCCTCTAGACCATAGCCATATAGCCCGAAAAAACCTACAACAACCCATACAATAATTAAAATAAAGAACAATTTTAACAAATATAAACTTATTAGTATTTCAGTGGGAAGTGTGTGCCTGCTTTTGGCTGATGAGATAGGGTTGTTGTTGTTGTTGTTGTGTGCTTTCAAGTAGTTTCAGACTTAGGTTGACCCTGAGCGAGGGCCGGTAAATGATGGAGGGCCATATCTGGCTCTCGGGCCTTAGTTTTGATGCTCTTTCTCCCACTCTGGACATTCCACAGATATATAAATCAAATTTTCCTAGTTTCCAACACACCTCACAACCTCTGAGAATGCCTGCCATAGATGCGGGCGAAACGTCAGGAGGGAATGCTTCTGGAACATGGCCATATAGCCTGAAAAATCTACAGCAACCCAGTAATACAATGGGTGCTTCTAGAACATGGCCATATAGCCTGAAAAAAACCTACAACAACCCAGTCAGGAGAGAATGCTTCTAGAACATGGCCATATAGCCTGAAAAACCTACAACAACCC